TCATGTTCATATGTTAATCATCTTTTACTTTTATTGATTCAATAGTTATTCGATAAACTATTGAATCAATAAAGTTAAAAGATTATTAACATATGAACATGAACCGGTACTCGGGTTTATTTTTGTCCGAATTAACCCGATCGGAAATGTCGGAGAGTGATTTTCAAGGCAAAAACTCCAACTTGTGTCCTCAAGTTATTCTTATATTGTTTAAACAGATACAGTTTCTCTGTTACACCAATACGATGAACCTTCAAAATATTAACTGCCTAATATATATCCTTCGCATTACACTGAAGGTGTACATTTTAACATTCATTATAATGACTTTTAGCATCAAGTTTCGCTTGTTTTTCCTTTTGTTAATGATGTCTCTAATATTCAGTTGAAGGTTTTATGAGTCATAAAGCTATATTCTTGTGAATCCATAGGGTTGAAGAAAAAAAAATAAAGCATATGAATGTAAAAATCACTATAAATATCAAATATTAATGTAATTATTAAAAATTATTATTATCGTTATTGATAAAAAATGTATTAAATGATACGTAATTATTATCTGTACGTAGTTTATTTGGTCTCATGATCTGCATATCGTAACGACGCGGAATATATATAAAATCTGAGTGGCTGTTACATTTTTATGTCCCCTTCTGTTTATTAGGCTTAGCTAAATATTATTGAAAATAACCAAAGAGTTATAGTGACCTAATGGAAGAATGTTAGGATAACGACCCAAAAAACTACTATCAGCAGTAAAACTCGATGAAATTTTTACTAAATGGAAAAATTACGAAAAAATTATTTCAGAATTTACAGAATCAGAATAATAAATATTAAAGAAAATTAGAAAACAAATGCAAGGAGTAAATGATTTAATTTTTTATATGAATAAGCTTTTGTAGTTAATATAAAATTTTAACTGATTTCAATTTTATAGATGGTGGATTAGAGAAACTAATACTATAACGATAAGACGATTAATCGTATGGCAACCCGTGCTTTTTTGAAAGCTTATTTGCATGAGAATATATGAAAATCATGTGATTTTCATATATTACGTGTGTATCAGCCATTTTCACAAACAAAGAAAAAATAGAATTTGTTATATGAAGCCTAATATTTAGTTGGTCAGTCTTTAAAATTCTTATAGTTGTTCAGGTAGTATTTAAAACATAATTGTGTGAAGATTATATTTGGTCGAGTGGTTTTTAAAATTCTCAGCTGAGCGTGGACTATATTTAATCAGGTGATTTTTAGAATCTTATGGCGCTTCTTTCGGGTGGTTTTTAAAATCCTACAGCTGGGCAAAATCTATATTTATTCTGGCAATTTTTAAAATTTTTAATTGTTGGGCAAAGGATTAAAGAAATCAGATAATTTTTAAACTTCTTATAATTTATATTTCATAATTCTTTGATCCAATTTGAATAATTTTGAATAATTTTGATATCATTTGAATTATTCGCAAAGACCAATCTAGTAATACAAAATTATTCAAATTAAATTACAGAAATCCAATATATATGATCACATAAATAAAATTATCTATTAATAAATTATTCAATTTCTGTAAAAAATATTATTTTATACAAGTGTTAGTGGGGCGCAACTGGCGCCTTTTATACAATTTCAATACTAGTTACAGTGAAATTTTGATATTATTAAGACTAATTAGAATACAATTAGGGTAGCCGCGCAGGGCCAGTACGGTCACGTACGACGTGTAAATTTGACTATTCGAATAGTCAAATAAAACAGAGATATGTAATGATGGTGCAGTAGATGTTATAAACACCGAACAGTTAACTTTTAGATCGTCTAGTGAGAATTTGGATGTTTAAAACACACGAACATATAAAAACTAACTGGTTTAAGGAATTTAGATATGCTGATTGTGAAAATATCTTTAACTGACGGTTGTTGTTATAACACTTACCAATAGCTTTGGTCATTGTCATTTATTAAATATAATTTTCGTGGACTGCTATATAATACTGTTATTACTACCTAACCTATCTACGTAACTCGTTTCATGTATTTATTCTACTAGACATACGGGGTGCGGACAATAGAAACAGCCCATTTTTACATTTATCTTATTTTGAGATAATTGAGTTTAATCATTTGTTTTGATTTTCGGACTGATCCGGGATTAATCAAATTTCACGATTTTGATTGGCTAAAGGTAGCAGGTGACTATCGGATAATCTCGTGATGTGTTGGCTCTACGAAGCCTCGTGTAATTTTTCTTTTACATTATCTTGATTTTTTATTATGCAAATCGACTTTCATTTATAATTGAAAAATGTTAATCATGTCAAAATTTATATGAACCTAATAAAACTCAATTTTCAAAAAAATGTAAAAATGGGCTGTTTCTATTGTCCGCACCCCATATATCCATTTAATTAAGGTGATTGAATATAAATACTGTATTGTCTTAAATGTCAAAAACAATAAGTAAATAAAATTTCATTCTGAATAAATACATAATAGTTAGGTTATGTGTGTAGCAGGGGATAAATCAGCTATATCCTAGGTAGTAGTAAAGTATCCGTTTAGATTAATCTACTATAATATAGCTATTATTTATATTACACAACTATCATTTGTTTATTCAGTTATAAAAGTTAATATGTCAGCTTCTGGGCCCTTAAGGACTCAGGAGCCGAAGTATTAATTTCAGTGAATAAATCATTTTATAAATAATTCTCATCGTTGGCGATTCCCACATTACACTGTGTTACTATCAAGAATCGTCACTGAGCACTTTAATTCACTAGTCCTATTTACTCTTGTTGTCTTGTTCTACTTTAGTGTATCATCATAACTCTGTCACCTACGATTTCGTATGCTATGGTGCTCAACAACGAAGCCCAAGGCTAAGTTCTTTGTTTAAATCCTAAATCCACCTGTCGTTGAAGTTACTTACTATTTAAATCAAGAATGAAATCATGAACCTACCTACTGTTGAGATCACTAACAAATTCACTGTTGAAATCGTCAACCAATCTGCTAAATTGCGAACTCGCCTACTATTGCAGAAATTATGCTACTCAAATCTAGAGTCCCAATCCGTCAATCACTTATCCGTATCTGAATTATTCGATCGGTCAAATATCCGGGTTATCTGACAGATATTCAGATAATTGGATAAGATAACGGATAACTAATATCTACAAGTATCCGGATAAACGGATAATGGATTGGAATTCTACTCAAATCGATTATCAATGGTAGTAAAGCATAGCCGTATAGTTTAAAATCTAGAAGTGAATCTACAGATCGTAGTATCAAGTGAAATCACGAAAAATTAGCAGATTTCGCCGACAATTTTAAAGATTTGAATAAAATATAATCGATAGACAAACCTACATAATTACTGAAAAAAAGTTAGTGTTAGCATAAAGATCTTTATTCAATATAAGGCCAAATTTAATCTTGTAATACAGACGCATTATTTTTTTCACAATTGTTCTGATTTCTCAGATCAACAACCTTTATGTTCAATACGTCGTTCCATATTGACACAAGTTTTTAACTTGCACGTATATCCTTACAAAATAATTTACACGTGACAAATTTCGATATTGTATTTTTTTATATTAAAGTAAATAAATATTAATTCAGATGTACGAATATCACGCGCATTTAACGAAATAAACCACCATTACAGATAAAAAGCCACGGATAATAGTTATAACCATGATTTATTGAGATCACAATATCTCAAGAGGCTGGAGAGGAAGTGATCGTTAAGGAAGGATATTTAACTGAATCGATCTAGATCATGTAATCAAGAATAATGTTCAGTATAACCAAATTTGAATACGTAATTATTTAACGTGATCATAGTTCTTGGTCAAAGGTAAGTAAAGGCTTAATATTAACCAAAAAAGTATGCACATGCTGTCCAATAGAATTCGAGATTTCGAACACAGCAATTTGCCCGTAAGCCATACACTTCGTACTAGTACTTCTACTTCGTACTCGTTTCTGGTAAAACCGGTCAAGGCTTAGAAAACAATAAATCCTTTATAAACAAATTGAAATGAATTAATGAAAAAGAAAGAACATGTTGTCAAGAAGGAAGAGTGTAATTTTGGCCGTCTTTACTTTCTTTTTCTTTTTTTTGATTATAAAAGAATCTCAATATTTAAATGTGCTTCAAGCAGATAAAAATGTTTCTACAATGGACGTGGTTATACCAGTAGCTTTTAAGGATCATATAAAGTTAAAAAAAAGCTTGCATGGAATCTTGGAAAATTCCTTAACACCGATCAATAAAGTTTACATAATTTCTAATAACGAGAACATATTAGATCATTTAAATGATAAAACCAACATAAAAATCATTTTTATACCTGAGATACATTTCCTTTTTTCTAAGGAGGATATAAAAAGGATTTTAAATCAGAAAAAATCTAAATATAATCATGCTACTTGGTATTATCAACAACTTTTAAAGTTTTACATTTTTAGGGTCATACCTGATCTTTTTGAAAATGTTTTAATTCTAGATTCTGATTTATCTTTAAAGAAAAAGTTAGTTTCATAACAGATGATGGTAAAGCCATATTAGCGTATGGCTATCCATTTAAATGGATTCTTAATACTACTAAATATCCTGAAGAAGTTAAACATAGTCACGTTGATTTTGCAAAAAGATTTATATCATCGTGGGAAATTATGAACACTTTTAGCGGTATGCAACATCACTTACTTTTTCAAAAACATATTACCGAATCTCTTTTTAAAGATGTAGAAACATATCATGAAAAAGATTTTTGGAAAGCTTTTATGGATGAAGTTGATATAACGAAATGGAATGCTGCTTCTGAATATGTCATATATTTTCATTTTGCTATAAAAAATTATCCGAATGATTTAGAATTAAGACATCTTAACTCTTATGATCTTATTTATGATTCACAAGAAGGTGATAATGATATTCTACAAATTTTAGATCAATTTGCTCAATATACTGAATATAAAGGTGTCGGATTTCATTCCTTTCTTAATCTTAAGGAAAGATTGAAAACAATGGATTATGTAACAGAATCATTGCAAAAAAAAATGTTGAATGAAAAACCTTTATGTTTTATTTTAAAATTATGCAATAGTATGCTGCAAATTACAAGTTATGGTGACTTTGAAAAAGGAAATAATTCAGATAATTTTTAATTTTATTGAAATAGAATTTTCATATCATAAAAGTCATATTTGTGAGTTTTTATTTTATTTTTCTTATTTTAACAAGTTGACTTGGAACATAACTGGGAGCTCTAAATAATATTAAAATATCTGTGAATAAGTGCATAATGTATTATATAATAGTAACAAATAAGATTTTTTATAAAAAAAGTAAATCCCAAGGATAAGTGGTAAACGATTATAACCTTGTTTTTATTAATATTATATTTTTGATGATTCTTAACATCATGTTTTCAATAAAATGAACAATGATTTAGAAAAATAATCTAATATTTAACTATCATAACGCTGTTAATTTGTAACATCTAACCCTTTGTTTTAGTGCCGTAATCTTTTTTTATCAACAATACACTAAAGTCATGCTAAGAGAAGTGATTCCCGATAACGTAAATCCCTCCCCTCTAATCCTATATCTTCAGATTCAAACCCATTACCAATAAAAATTCTTAAAAAGATCAAAGTATTACTTTTGCAAAAAGCCTTCGCTAGTGCTTTCCCTCCTTCAATACCAATATTAGTACCACGGAGAATTAAATCAGTTAGAGTAGTATTTATATAAAGTGCTTCTGCAAACGCTTTTCCTCCTTTAACACCAATATTATTATGGCTAAGGTCTAAATCAGTTAGTGTAGTATTTACACAAAGAGCTTCAGCTAGTGCTTTTGCTCCTTCAGAATCAATCATGTTACTGCTAAGACCTAATTCAGTTAGAGCAGTATTCTTACAGAGAGCATTTGCTATTGCTTTTGCTCCTTCAGTATCAACAT